TTTCCTGCTCTATTCAAATGATTGCCTTCATTAATGTTCTACTTCTTTTATGAAAAGCGTTATCCATTTTATAATTTCTTTTACTAAGCTGATTACATAAGTCTACATGTGGAAATTTTACATATATCCATACTTTTTTGCGCAAGGGGGTAAGTTATGAAACAAAATATTCTGAGGGAAAATTCAAACTGGGTTTCAGGAAGGCCTGACAATTGGCATTCAGAAGTTTTTTTTTGTTTTTCCCGTATCTTACTACATATTCTCTCCAAAAACAAATGACCTGTCTTTGAGATTAAACTCTTGCTATAATTTAGATGAATTCTCTTAATGCACATTATACATATAACATGCTTTAGTTTGCATGTACATTTTTTACAAAAATAAATTTCTTGTATTCTATTCATTTCATATTCCCAGTATAATATATTAATAATCAAACCCTGAATAAGTTAAGAGCCTCAGAGTCATGGAACAGAAGAACGTGAAAGTACCCAAGTCTCTGATCTTCTAGCCTCGGGCTCTTTCTAATTCGTCATTCAGGCTTTCCAATGAAACTTTCTCTCCAGACACCTGCAAAGTGTAGCTCTCTTATCAGACCCATGTGAATGCTTGATCAAAGAACTGTTTTACTCTTTTTTTTTTTTTTTTTTTTTGAGACAGAGTTTCACTCTTGTTACCCAGGCTGGAGTGCAATGGCACGATCTCGGCTCACCGCAACCTCCGCCTCCTGGGTTCAGGCAATTTTCCTGCCTCAGCCTCCTGAGTAGCTGGGACTACAGGCACGCACCACCGTGCCCAGCTAATTTTTTGTATTTTTAGTAGAGACAGGGTTTCACCATGTTGACCAGGATGGTCTCGATCTCTTGACCTCGTGATCCACCCGCCTCAGCCTCCCAAAGTGCTGGGATTACAGGCCTTGAGCCACCGCGCCCGGCCTGTTTTACTTTTTATTCTAGTTTAAGTGGGTAATTTGACAGTCTGAGAAGGATACTGGTGTCCCTCTGTCTGGAATGTACTCATCTACTGAGAGTTCCACCAGAATTATCCATGATTAGTTTTCTCCATTAGTTACTGTATCACAACGACCAGCATCATCAGTTTGGACCCTGTAAAGCTTTTTGACTTTCTTTCTTATATAGTAAAGTTCATCCTGACAGAAAATATGTGCAAGAAGATCTCTTGAGGTTGTTTGATATGAGAAAGGAAAGGTCGATAACCTTCAATACAAACAAGTCTGAAGTAAAAATAATTCTAACAGCTTTGTTGGGTGGTGAGTTCCAACTTATCACGGACACCATGGCAGAGGGAAAGAAGAGCCATTATGAACTGCTTTCTAAAGATATACAACACAATAGACTTAAATAGTCAACAGTGTTGAACGTCAAGAAGAAAGAAACTGAAATAATATAGAAACCTTATTCTGCCATTGTATGAAACACACGATAACTGGTTCTGTGAGGCTGAATACAGTTCTTATTGCTGAAACATTTCAAAGTATATAAAAGAACAGAAATTCCCAAGCAAAACCAGACTTAAGAAGAAAAAGAAATTGGCTTGAAAGGTTAGGCTTTAAAGTTAGAGAACTTTCCTACCTGGATAAAAGTGAACATTTATGATACAAATATATATAACAAGTCATAAGTGTTTTGCTAGGATAAACAAATACAGGTATTAAAGTGGGCATTTCTCATATATCAAAGTATCATGAATGTGAGGAAGATCTTTTGAAAATGGAAGAGAAGTAAATTTAGTACAAATGAAAAAGCATTATTTTGTACAAGTAGCTCACAGAGGTGACGTGTTTGAAAATCTAAGTCAGTTCAAGAAGACTTAAGAAAAAAAACATAAACAGAGGTCCAGTCTACCACTGGGACAATTAACATGATGGGGGACACACTCATAGGCCACATGATTTTATATGTCACTCAACCTTGATGTCATAAATCTAGACAGAACCTTACAAACAATGAAATTTGAAATGTTCTGTAAAGGACTCATGGCCACTTACTTTATCAGACAGCAGGACAGGGCAAGAGGATATAGAGGATTCATTAATCTAGTCATCAAATCAGACCATGCTTTTCAAATATATATCACACTTTTTGTAAAAGAATAAGGCATTCTTACCCCGATGTCTTTAGCCTGACTCTCCCCCTCAACACCATCCCTTCCCGAAAAAGATCAGTTTTCTCTGCCTTAATAATGGTAGCTTAGCAGACAGGATGATGGGATTCAGGAGGACTTTAGATGTCATTTACTCTAAATCTTTCATTTTGTACACAAAGGCACTGAAAATCCTGAAAGCTTGTGACCACCCATAATTTAATAGTCTCCGAGTGGTAGAACCTGGGCATGGATTTAAGTCCAACGCCTTTTGCAGAGCAGCCCAACAGCGTAGCACAACCCCTTATAATCATGGATCTAGCAAGGCACTGAGAACTCAGTCTCGGATGCAAGGCACTCACAATTCACCAGACTTCGGTGAACAATGTAACTGTCTGAAAGATCTCTTCGATAAATAAACATTTTTTCCTCCTGCCCGTTATCTAAGCAAGATGATCATTTGCATGCATTTTTTTTAATTCTAGGAAATCTCTTTTCATTCTGTAATTCTCGGTTAACTCCCTACATTCAGGAAATGTTGAGAAAATGTTGCCTATAGCAGATACTTTTTTCTCAGCTGGAATTATCATACTCACAATTCAATCTATACTTCATTTAATCACTTAGCTGTGGCTGGGTGCAGTTTCTTCCAGCCAACATTCATGGAATATTCTGTTAGAAGCTTGGTGTGTAGCAGGCAGCCAATGACTGTTTTCACTGGACAAGCTATTAGAAGTTTGGACCTCCTATTTTTTAAATATTATTTAGCATTTTATGACATTATATCACAAATCTATTTGTTTATTACTCATTTATTCCAGTGAAATTTAAGCTTCACCAGCAGAAGGGCTCTTTGTTTGTTGCTTTGCTTTTGTGTCACTATCACCCTTCACTGTGCATTCTGCCTGGAAAGTACTTGACACATTTTCATTGGTGGTATCAAGGAGAAATTAGGAATACTCTATCTGCTTACATTTTATTGTATCTATAGAATTTTTCAAAATGAAATGTTCTGTGTTTTATTCGAGAGTCTAGAATTTTTAGACATTTAATATAACTTACCCATAATGGAAAATGTAACGTCCTAAACTCTTCCGTAAGAATTGTTCCAAATACATTTTCTAAAGAAGAAAACTCCCTTAAAAACATTCTTAATGAGATATATTTAATTTACATGAAATAGGCAGGGTTATTTTATCCTTAATACCAACTGCAATGTCATAATTATTTTATTCCAAAGGACACTTAGGACACTTATATGTGACCCTTTTTTCTTTTTTTTTTTTTTTGGGAGAGAGAGTCTCACTTTGTCGCCCAGGCTGGAGTGCAGTGGCACAATCTTGGTTCACTGCAACCTCTGCCTCCCAGGTACAAGCTATTCTCCTGCTTCAGCATCTCAGGTAGCTGGGATTACAGGCTATGGCCACCATGTTCAGCTAATTTTTATATTTTTAGTAGAGACGGGTACTACTCGAACTCCTGATCTCAAGCAATCCAACTGCTTTGGCCTCCCAAAGAGTGCTGGGATTATAGGCATGAGCCACTCTGACCTGCCCGGCCTGAGCCTTTTTTTCCAGTTTAAACACGATTATACTTTTTGCACTTCAGATTAATGAGAACCTACTCTATTTTAAAGTTCACCTAAGGATTTTGTTCAGTTATGTATGTAAAACATCAAATCTGGTCCCTATTAACTTTTCTTATTGACAATACTTAAAGTATGCTTTTTATAATTTTTAAAACTGAAAACCCTATCTATCTCAAATAGGCTGTCTTTTTTTTTTTTTTCTGACTTGATGTCATTTTAGTCTCCTCAGCAGTTTTGAGAGTTAACCCAAACTGATATTCTGAGATTTTGGATCATGAAATTTGTCACGTATTTTCTGATAGCCAAATGATGAGATGGATATGATAGCAGAGGTTTAAAATGATGAGCTAAACTGAGAAAATGTGATTTCTCAGCAAACCATAGTATGATAGAGCAGAGGATAATTAAAATGTAAATTTTAACCATGACTATAATAACAAGGAGAAAGGAAAACAAGGTTTTCACTAGCTACTTTAAGGATTTCTTCTTTACGGTGATTTGCTTCAGACCCAAACAACTTTTTTTTTTTTTGAGATGGAGTTTCACTCTTGTTACCCTGGCTGGAGTGCAATGGCGCGATCTCGGCTCACCGCAACCTCTGCCTCCTGGGTTCAGGCAATTCTCCTGCCTCAGCCTCCTGAGTAGCTGGGATTACAGGCACACGCCACCATGCCCAGCTAATTTTTTGTATTTTTAGTAGAGGCAGGGTTTCACCACGTTGACCAGGATGGTCTCGATCTCTTGACCTTGTGATCCACCCGCCTCGGCCTCCCAAGATCCAAACAACTTTTATGACAAAAACAAAAAGACTGGAGGATGTCTTACTATTTAATTTCCTATTTTTTAAATTAATGTAGATTTCAAAGATAAATTTGAATGGATTGATTTTTTTTAAAAGGTTGCAGTTACTTTATGTATAGAATCGCTAATTCTTCAAAGTAAATGTGCTTTTAGAAGACTTATCTATTAGGAATATTAGAATGATTATTTACATATGGTCAATGAGATAGTTGAAAAGTTTTAATAGACAAACAAACAAAAAACCCAAAGGGTCATTCATGGAATATAAAGTCCTTAAAATCTGTATTTCTAAAACGTAAGGTTACATTTCTTAAGTTGCATTTGTAAGTAGGTCCACTGCAGCTTGTAAAATGGTTGTTTAGCTTTGGGGGTTAGGTTCTTGGAGCTACAATAGTCAGAACCTGTTCTAAACATTCCTAGGTCCCAAACATTAGTGAATATTTTCTGAGCAGCAAGATTCCATGGCAGTAACATGTTTTTATTATATTTTCTATAGTAACACATTTACCCAGGACCCACGGTAATATCATCCACTCGACGATGGTTGGTGGTGGACCTTGCCTGTTCAAGTCTGACCTGTCGATGTGCTGAGAGGCAAGCAGCAGCAGGAACAAAAAAGTCAGATAGGAGGCTGTGTGGCAGATAAACTTGATAAATGGCTTTCTGATGAACAGTCCCAGTGGGCTTTTGGGAGCTATCAGGTAGCACACAGAGAAGACGGGAAAAAGCAGTCCGATGATGAAACATGTCACCATCTTCACTGCCCAGTGTCTTCTCCTCCAGCCTGGAAACTCATCGTACCAGCGAGATGCCAGCAGTTGTTGACAATTGGGCTGGGCAACAAACTAAACAGAAGGGAAAGGAAAGAGAAGAGTAAGTCACGGTTACATGGAATGGCTTCAGTTCATCAATAAGAACACAGTTGTGATCTTTGAAGACAGAAGTTCTGTTTCACGTAATTTTACATTTAAACAATCAAAAGCCTTTAAGTAAATAAAGCCAATGTATTGAATACTTATTCTACCCAAGGCACGGTGTTACATGCTTGGTGAGACACAACTTGAATCAAAATACTATGGCTGCACTTGAGGAAGCAAAAATAGACCTGGGGAATAAGAATATACAAAAGATATGCTGATAAGTGAACAAAGCAGTTTACAAAGGTATACACCTATATATACACATATAAGAGTATATAAATATGGCTTTTTTTTGGATATAGTGGTTATTTCTTGGTTTCAACATTACACTTAATTTTTATTTTTATATTTGTGTGTACTTTTAATAGTTTTCTATAATAAATATTTATTACTTTCATTATCAGAGAAAGCAAACAGACTTTTCTTTATGGGGTACAAGCTAAATTTACTGTTAATTGGGTTGGGGCAATATGAAAAACAGATGAAAGAATATAATATTCACCAGAATGTTAATCATCATAGCTTAGCTCGGTATAAACAATGCAAACACCTTACCTAAGTATACCTAATTACCTTAAATGAAACATTTCACAGACATGACATCATTCTATCCTGGCAACATCTTTGAGATGTAGCATGGACACTACCTACTGTAAGTTAGGAGGGTTACATAGCTAGCAAATTATGAGATGTTTGACTATCCAGTCCAGGATTTTTTTTCTCAATATTTCTTTATTTTTTTCTTAGTATTCTTTTTTTTTTTAAATCAGTATTTCTCAGACTTGTTTTCTCAACCTTTCCCATTAGGATTCACAGTTAAGCAATATATGAATTAAGAGGAAATTTCATCTTTCAAATAGAACATTCCAAGAATGCTTCCACCTGGGCATATTTGTATAAGTAGAAAGAGAAGATGAAGGCAATCCATGGCAAGATATCATGGGAGAACAAGAGCAAGCCTGGTGAGAAAGTGTACAGTGGGATTAAAAGATGCGCCATGGTCAGTTCTGATTGAAGGAGGAGTGTAAGTTCCTTGGAGGAGACTTGGGAAAGTTCTGTTGGCATCATGAAATAGGCTTACTCTATAAGCAAACATAGTGCTTGTTCCTTTCACAGGACTCCCCACCCAACTCCACATTTCCCATTTTTCTTCTTTAGTTCTAAGCTATATGGCTGTCCTTTAGGCAAGACTTTTTCTTTTCTCTTTTCTGATAGTCAGCAAGCAAGAAAGGCTGCTTTGCTTGGGGAATGAAGAAAGAGAAAGGGTGACATTCAAAGAGTAATTTAACAGTTGAGGTGTTCAACCATTTGGATTAGATGAACAATGGTTTCTCACGCAACTGTTTCTCTTCATCTTTCCTTGTATATCTACTCATCAATGTATATAGTGGACAAGTGAACATGCAAACAAATTGAATTAAGTTTATAATAATGGGTTCAGTAAATACAGATAAAACCAAATAAAATAGCATGGCTTTAAGGATTAAATTCTTTGCTTCTTTTAGGTAATTTTACAGAGTATATATGTGTGTATTCAGTGGCAGAAATATTAATTCAAACAAACTGGAGCAGGGAGGGCTCTCTTCACTATCTCGTATGTCACTCGTTTAAGGAAATTTTAGACTCCATAAACAGTCAAGCTAAATTTTATTTCAGACAAAGCCAGGTATTTGAAAGAGTTTTATTTTTACCCATATAATCCCTCTCAGCAGCATTTGATAAAGAAATCATAGTTTGTCATCTTTTTTATTCCCCATGGAATAAAATATTTTTTAATAGTATTAGACTTTAGAACAGCTGAAAAGTCTTGATATAAGAGAGTTAAGAAAACCTTTGGAACATGCAAGATAGAACAAGCAGGTGCCATCATCTTATCAGTATCACACACTGAGAAAACACTAAGGGACTAAGTGACTCATTCTGTAATGCAGAAAGATTAAAAGAAAGGTATGTCCTTTGTTCACTACAGTCTAAGCAAGGTCTTGGATTCAAACTCTGTCCTTCCTGGTCAAAATCTCACTACAGCATGGGGCACCTGAGGACAATTACACAAAAAACTTTCTTAGGAGATTTTAATGTTTCTTTGAATTAATATTTCTGCCACTGAATACACACATATATATTCTGTAAAATTACCTAAAAGAAGCAAAGAATATAATCCTTATAGAACACCAAGTGCTAGGTTAGCTATAATTTTTTATGGCTTTTTTTTCTTAAAAGTACTTTTTCTTTCTTTAGTTACTGCAAGTATATACCTGTGCTTAGTAAATGAACCGTGTACCTAATTTTACATTAAACAGAGACACAGGGAGGTTTTTGTAGAAATGAAAAATAGGGAGAGGACTAGGAAGAGCAGGAGTGAGTGTGTGTAAAACACGAGGTTCCCCAAATGTGGATGTTCTCTGGCTATGTGTTTGCTCCAATCATGCAACTGAAACGACCCAAAAAAGTTTCCTGAGAATCATTGTAAATTCACAGATTTTCAGGGTAATTTCATGTCTCCTTTCTACCAGACATGTTCTTTACTTGTCTACACCAGCAGTTCCTAAATTGTATCCCAGTAATTAATAGATTTTTCATGCAAAAATGGGTTTAATGGTTAAATCAATTACCAAATTAAGGATTGAAATAATAAAATTTCGTATGAATGGGATTTTTCAGTCTTTATTTGCTAACATAGATTAAATCACTTCAATTATCTCTTACCTCTTAGTTCCTCCCACCCTCCTTCCCACACTTCTTCTTTTCTTTCCTACCTTCCTTCCTCCCACCCTCCCTCCCTCGTCTCCCTGTCTGCCTCCCTATTTACCGGGATTACAAGGAGTAAAGTTCAGCTTTACTCCAGTCCCCTCTGAAGGACACCTGTAGAGAGGGGCCACCCTCCATTCCAGCAATGCCCTCTCCGGGTAGACCATCACATTGCCTGCAGCGTACTGGGAGCCTATAGCTCCCGCCTCCTCTACTCCATCTTTCTACTGCACCATGAGTCATAGGAGGAACTACCATCTTCTGCACCACTTCGGTACTGGGAGAAGCGAGGTTTGTTTTTAGACACAATTCATTACAGCCCCTTCTTTCTCTAGAGTTGTTGGCCAATTCCAGCACAACTCCTGCTATCCCATTAAAATTCATATTAAAACACTTAAACTTTCAGATTCACATTCATGCTATGCATTTATAAAAGATGTTGTGAAAACAATTTTAAAGATTTCCCATCTCTTTCAATAACCTTTAAAAAGTTGGAAAAGTCTGATCTCATTATTATTTATAGACTCACTGAGTCATGAGATTCCAACTATTGAAGACACTGTGAAAACTATTGAATCTAATCTCATTTTTACAAATAGAATAAGATAGATCCAGTATCAATGATTTAAAAGTAACTACTCGAAATATGAAAATTCCAAACCATAATGGCAACAAAGAAAAGGATGACAAAAAGGAGGATAAAACTGGAAAAAAATACAAAAACAGAACAAAACCAAATAAACAAGAAACTGCACTACATTGTATTAGTTGGTTTTTGCGCCACTGATAAAGACATAACTGAAACTCGGCAATTTACAGAAGAGTTTTAATGGACTCACAGTTCTATGTGACTGGGGAAGCCTCACAATCATGGTGGTAGGTAAGAGGCATGTCTCATATGAGCAGACAAGAGACTAGAGCTTGTGCAGGGAAACTCTCCTTTTTAAAACCATCAGATCTCATGAGACTTATTCACTATCATGAGAATAGCATGGAAAAGATCTGCCCCCATGATTCAATTATCTCCCACCAGGTCCCTCCCACAACAATATGGGAATTATAGGAGCTACAATTCAAGATGAGATTTGGGTGAGGACACAGCCAAACCATATCAACTATCTAGGAAAGTGAACTAAAATATTAGTTGTATATAAACAAAGTAAACAGAAAATCATTTAAAATATATAAAACAAATCAAATAATAAAACTGTGAAACAGATTTACTTAGTATTTGTACTTTCTTCATCTTTTCAGTTTTTCAACATATTTTTTGAGTTAAAAAAAATTGTATCCAAAGTTCAGACTCCAGTCATTCTCTATAGGAGGAAAATCCAAATTCGGGGACAACCATCCTGGCTACTTTATCCATTTTGACTGTGTCAGAGAGTCACATGAGAATCTCAATTGACCGCCAGCTGATAATAAAGAGAGTTGAAACTTCGGGCTGGTGTACATAAGGGCAATGTACGTCCTTTCCTCTAAAAGGACCACAAATTCATATACATATCAGTGTGCTCTGGGTATTACTGTTCATTCTTTAGCAATTCAAAAATAATCTGTATTGGGGGAGAGTTATTTCCTCTGCCCAGAAATGCTTTTCAAAAACTCATTTTATAATGTTGATAGCAGAATCTAAGGATTATTTACAGGCAGAAGACCTTCAGGGAATTAATTTTGTTCATAGCTGAAAAACCATTTTTAAAAAATCTTTTACTTCATCCCCTAATTGCCTCATGGCCACCAATGGCTTTTAAATGTCTCCGTCTCTCCCTGCTTCCTGGTGATACCTTTGGTCATTTTTCTCATTAAATGATTTTTTTGGTCCCTCTGAGTATATTCACATCACATGATTAATCAGACCCACCTACTTCACTAATCAAAACATTATTGTCATCTGCCTTTCCAGGACATGTGAAACGTTAATTAAACCAATAGCATTCAGCATCATCTGCGAGTCAGACATTGGCTAGATAAGTGTGGGGAATGCCACGATCTGTAAGAACGACATAAATTTGTCTTTGGGATCTCAAAATACATTGGGACTAATTATGTAACTGAATAATTTTATACAGAGTATTATATAACTTGTTAAAAAAGAGATATAAGGTATATAAGAGTGTGTCCAACATGAAATAAACTGAAAATTTAAGAAAGGAAGTGGAATTGGTTAGTTAAGC